GGCTGAGTTTGGAAGCAGAGAGAGCAGGGGACACTGCCCCCCTAGTCTTTTAAAAGAAGAATGAACAGTTCTTCCCTGTTCATGTTTTTGTTTCTTCAACAGGGAAGAGTGGGCAGGTCTAAGACAAACATGCTGAGCACATTCTGTCAGGAAGGACAGACAGGGAAAAAAGGGAGGAGGGGTTGCCTTGTATATTAAAAATGTACACACTTGGACTGAAGTGGAGATGAACGTAGGAGATAGCTGTGTAGAGAGTCTCTGGGTTAAGCTAAAAGGGGTAAAAAACGAGGGTGATATCATGCTAGGAGTCTACTACAGGCCACCTAGCCAGGTGGAAGAGGTGGATGAGGCCTTTTTTAAACAATTAACAAAACTATCCAAAGCCCAAGATTTGGTGGTGATGGGGGACTTCAACTATCCAGACATATGTTGGGAAACTAACACAGCGAGGCACAGGCTATCCAATAAGTTTCTGGACTGCATTGGAGACAACTTTCTGTTTCAGAAGGTTGAAAAAGCTACCAGAGGAGAAGCTGTTCTGGATTTGGTTTTAACAAATAGGGAGGAACTAGTTGAGAACTTGAAAGTGGAAGACAGTATAGGGGACAGTGATCATGAAATAATAGAGTTCATGATCTTAAGGAAAGGTAGAAGGGAGACCAGCACAATTGAGGTTATGGATTTCAGGAAGGCAGATTTTGATAAGCTCAGAGAACTTGTAGGTAAGGTCCCATGGGAAGCAAGACTGAAGGGAAAAACAACTGAGGAGAGTTGGAAGTATTTCAAAGGGACGTTGTTAAGGGCCCAAAAGCAAACAATTCCGCTGTGTAGGAAAGATAGAAAATATGGCAAAAGACCAGCTTGGCTTAACAAGGAGATCTTGCATGATCTCAAAATAAAAAAGGAGTCATATAAAAAATGGAAACTAGGACAACTAACAAAGGATGAATATAGGCAAGCAACACGGGAATGCAGGGGCAAGATTAGAAAGGCAAAGGCACAAAATGAGATCAAACTAGCTACAGGCATAAAGGGAAACAAGAAGACCTTTTATAAATACATTAAAAGCAAGAGGAAGACCAAGGACAGGGTAGGCCCACTGCTTAGTGAGGAGGGAGAAGCAGTAACAGGGAACTTGGAAATGGCGGAGATGCTCAATGACTTCTTTGTTTCGGTCTTCACCGAGAAGTCTGGAGGTGTGCCTAACGTAGTGAATACAAGCAGAGAGAGGGTAAGTTTAGAAGATAGGATACACAAAGAACAAGTTAAAAATCACTTAGGAAAGTTAGATGTCAGCAAGTCACCAGGTCCTGATGAAATGCATCCCAGGATACTCAAGGAGCTGATAGAGGAGGTATCTGAGCCTTTAGCTATGATCTTTGAAAAATCATGGCAGACAGGGGAGATTCCAGAAGACTGGAAAAGGGCAAATATTGTGCCCATCTATAAAAAGGGGAATAAGAACAACCCAGGAAATTATAGACCGGTCAGTTTAACGTCTGTCCCAGGGAAGATAATGGAGCAGGTAATTAAGGAAATCATATGCAAACACTTGGAAGGTAATAAAGTGATAGGGAATAGCCAGCATGGGTTTGTGAAGAACAAGTCATGCCAAACTAATCTGATAGCTTTCTTTGATAGGATAACGAGCCTTGTGGATAAGGGAGAAGCGGTGGATGTCATATACCTAGACTTTAGTAAGGCATTTGATACGGTCTCGCATGATATTCTTATTGATAAACTAGGCAAATATAACTTAGATAGGGCCACGATAAGGTGGGTGCATAATTGGCTGGATAACCGTAGTCAGAGAGTTGTTGTTAACGGTTCTAAATCCTGCTGGAAAGGGATAACAAGTGGAGTTCCTCAAGGGTCTGTTTTGGGACCCGTACTGTTCAATATCTTCATCAATGATGTAGATATTGGGATAGAGAGTACTCTTATTAAGTTTGCAGATGATACCAAACTGGGTGGGGTTGCGACTTCTTTGGAGGATAGGGACATAATTCAAAATGACCTTAGCAAGTTAGAGAAATGGTCAGAGGTAAACAGGATGAGGTTTAATAAAGAGAAATGCAAAGTGCTCCACTTAGGAAGGAACAATCAGTTCCATACATACAAGATGGGAAGCGACTGTCTAGGAAGGAGCATGGCGGAAAGGGATCTAGGGGTCATAGTGGACCACAAGTTGAATATGAGTCAACAGTGTGATGCTGTTGCAAAAAAAGCAAATATGATTCTAGGTTGTATTAACAGGTGTGTTGTAAGCAAAACTCGTGAAGTCATTCTGCCGCTCTACTCTGCGCTAGTTAGGCCTCAGCTGGAGTACTGTGTCCAGTTCTGGGCGCCACATTTCAAGAAAGATGTGGAGAAATTGGAAAGGGTACAGAGAAGAGCGACAAGAATGATTAAAGGTTTAGAGAACATGACCTATGAAGCCAGGCTTCATGAACTGGGCTTGTTTAGTTTGGAAAAAAGAAGATTAAGGGGGGACATGATAGCGGTTTTCAAATATCTAAAAGGGTGTCACAAGGAGGAAGGAGAAAATTTGTTCCTCTTGGTTTCTGAGGACAGGACATGGAGTAATGGGCTTAAAGTGCAGCAAGGGAGGTTTAGATTGGACATTAGGAAAACATTCCTAACTGTCAGGGTGGTCAAATATTGGAATAAATTGCCAAGGGAGGTGGTGGAATCTCCCTCTCTGGAGATATTTAAGAACAGGTTAGATAGACATCTGTCAGGGATGGTGTAGACGGAGCTTGGTCCTGCCTTGAGGGCGGGGGGCTGGACTCGATGACCTCTCGAGGTCCCTTCCAGTCCTATTATTCTATGATTCTATGAAATATTACTTTCCTGCAAATAAAACTGATCATGCATTCATTTGATAGACTCAAATTCAGAGTAACATAGAGACAGATCTGAGAACAATAGATTTCTAACCTACTTTCCAAGTATCAAGGATACATCATATACATTATAAACGTACACCCACAGGAGCATCAGCAAACATCTACAGCTTTTTGTATTGTGAAGTTCAAAATGTATTAAAAAATTATATGCTGTAGCTGGTTCTCAGAAAATATTTATCTTTGGTGGGAGTTAAAAAGTCATCTTTAAAATTTAAAAAGAGAGATGAATTTCTGCACCTTACGAAAAGCATTCCTTGTGTCCTTGTAGTCCCGGCTTAGACTGTTTACAAGATCCATTACGTATCGCCAAATCATGTAATTTTGAATTTCTCTGTATAATAAACAACAATAAGAAGCTGGTGATGTTTCTAAGCTTTTTGGAACTTATTGGCAATAAATTGCAAATTAAAAAAAAATACCTGACATACCTACCTGGAAGTATATTTATTTAGAATAGGCTTTAGTTTGGTTAGATATTCTGGAGCATACACAACAACATCTTCTGTATTCTCAACATTAATTTGCACAGTTGACATTATATTATTTATGAATTCTGACCAGTTGAATTGCTGAAAAAAACATGCATTTTAGGGATAAGTGTTAAATAAGACCTGGTATAAAATAAAGTGATTATTACCTATTTTCTTTTGGGATTCAACTGTGTTTGAGTGAAACAAATGTTTCAGTTAATCTTTAGCTTTCCCAATAGTGACACTACTGTAATTGGAGCATGGTAATACTTGATTTGGGAGGATGTAAAATGCTATTACCCCAGGCTGACATTTAGGCTGTGTCTACACTGCACCCCTTTTCCGGAAAAGGGATGCAGATTAGACACTTTGGAATAGCAAAATCCGCGGGGGATTTAAATATCCCCCGCGGTATTTGCATTAACATGGCTGCCGCTTTTTTCCGGCTTGGGGATAAGCCGGAGAAAAGCGCCAGTCTAGACGTGATTCTCCGGAAACTAAGCCCTTTTCCGGAGGATCTCTTATTCCTACTTTGAAGGATTTTGCTATTCCCCACAGATTTTGCTATTCCAAAGTGTCTAATCTGCATCCCTTTTCCAGAAAAGGGGTGCAGTGTAGACACAGCCTTAGTGTGCAGGATATATAGTTTCTTTTTTTAAACTACAGCAATTTAAATGGTTATCCTATTAAAACATCCTGGAAAAGTGGAAAGGATGCTTTAGGCTTGCAGGATATATAATTTCTTTTTTTAAACTATAGCAATTTTAATGGTTATCCTATTAAAACATCCTGGAAAAGTGGAAAGGATGCTTTAGGCAATTTCAGGGGCTCTTTGGCTAGCTTCTAGTCAAAAGTTTTTAAATTAATTCACTGAGAATCTTATTTTCATTTATTCTAAGGTCCCTTTGTTCTGCTCTGGGAATATAATAGGACTTTGGTATATAGGAGAGACTGGCCCTGAGATTTTCATATGCATTAAGAGCCTGATACACAGCACAGAGAAATCAGTGAGATTTGTTGGATTGGGCTTTGGAACTCTTGTTTCCTCCCCAGCTTGCCATATTTTCAATAAGTTGAGGCACTTGAAAAGGCTCTGTTTGACAGCAATGCTGTTTGCAGTGTAGAGAGGCAGTGAAAATCTCAGATCAAGGTTAGAGCTTGTCTTTGGAATCTACATTATAATATCAATATGTTAAACAATGCCTTTGCATTTACATGGAGAGTATGCAATGAGAACAATACAGGATAAATTAAAAAAACAGCCAAAGGTGGTGGAATGCAAATGTGAATGGCAGTCACACGCTTGCATAGTAGCAAACTTTTTGGATGCATCTCTGGATGAGCATTCTAGAACATGGGCATCCCACATTCTGACTGAACAAATCCCTTCTGGGATAGCAAAGAGTTCAATACAAATTGTCCACTCACCCTCATCAGGATCTTCAGCTCTGGCCCTGGGCCCTTTAAATCCAGCCCTTCACTCTGGCTTCTAAATGCACCTGGTCCCTTTCTCAAGGCTTATGCTACTTTTGTCAGTGGCTGGTGGAACCCAGGGGAACCCAGGCCCACCCACTAGGAACTACGGCTTCCAACCCAGCACTCTGTAAAGAGTATCCACATACTGTTGCCTTCAACTATTTGCTGCTACTCCTCTAGGCCTCTTCCCAAAGCCCTTTTATCTTCATCAGACACCTCAGGGTTAAAGTTCTCAGGCCCTCTCTCTCTCAGTTTAAGCAAATACAGCTTTGTCATGCTCCTATGGCCAGAGAGGAGCTCCCAGTCTGGGGCGCCTTTTATCACCAGGTAAGATTGTGAAGAGCTTCAAAAAGATTTCACCAAACTAAGTGATTGGGTAACAAAATGGCAAATGAAATTTAATGTTGGTAAATGTAAAGTAATGCACATTGGAAAAAATAATCCCAACTATACATACAATATGATGGGGACTAATTTGGCTACAGCTACTCAAGAGAGAGATCTTGGAGTCACTGTGGATAGTTATCTGAAAACATCCACTCAACGTGCAGTAGCAGTCAAAAAAAGTAAACAGAATGTTAGGAATCAGTAAAAAAGGGATAGAGAATGAGACAGAGAATATTTTATTGCTTCTATATAAAACCCTGGTATGCCCACATTTTGAATACTTGTACATATGTGGTTGCCTCATCTCAAAAAAGATATATTGGCATTGGAAAAGGTTCAGAAAAGGGCAACAAAAATCAACAGGTCCCATATGAAGAGAGATTTAAAAGACTTGGACTTTTCAGCTTAGAATAATAGAGGAGACTAAGAGGGATATGATAGAGGTCTATAAAATCATGACTGGTGTGGAAACAGTGAATAAGGAAAAGATAGTTGCTTATTCCCACAATATAAGAACTAGGGGTCACCAAATGAAATGAATAGGCAGCAGGTTTAAAACAAACAAAAGGTAGTTTTTCTTCACTCAGTGCCCAGTCAACCTGTGGAACTCCTTGTCAGAGGATGTTGTGAAGACTAGGACTTTAACAGGGTTCAAGAAAGGGCTAGATAGATTCGTGGAGGTTAGGTTCATCAATGGCTATTAGCAGGGCTTGACAAATGGCGGCGAAAACTGCTCGCCAACCCCGTACTGCGCATGCACAAGAGCCGCATTGCGCATGCGCGCGCCGCGAATGAACGGGGCATGCGGCTGAAATCTACTCGCCACGGGCAAGTAGATTGTATAGTTTGTAGGGTGACTAGCCAGACTGGGTAGAAATGGTTTCCCTAGCCTCTGTTCTTTTGGAAAAAGGTGACAGGAGAGGGATCTCGTTATGATTACCTGTTGTGTTCCCTTCCTCTGGGGCATCTTGTATTAGCTACTGTTGGCAGACTGGGCTAGATGGAACTTTGGTCTGACCCAGTATGACCGTTCTTATGTTCTTATGACATGGAGTTCTAAGTACACAGACTGAACAGACCATGTCTATGGCTTAGGTGAGTGAGTTACAGTTAAACTGGCTATTCTCCTCTTCTTCTGGCTTCTAATCCCATATTACTTTGTGCTGCTGTTTATTCATGGGTGGTGGGTGAAAGTAGGGTTGAGGGGACAATATTGTTTTATGAGCAAACTAAATAAATTCCTGATACCACAGTTTATGTATAGTAATGGGTTAAATGAGATCTGTGGGTGTATGTGACTTTTATGAAATCAGAAGTGTAATAAGATGAGCTAAATTAAGTTGCTATTATTTATGTTGGGCAATTTAAGGTCATTGACAATCTTGGAGATTAAGGAGGATACTATATAACAAGCAGTGGCAGGAGTTGTATTTCAGAGTATATGACTCAGGATGAAAGACTTAATAATACACTCCTGCCTATCATGCTGAGTTATCTTCCTGTGACCCTGAGCTAAGACTCTAATTCCAGAAGTTGCAAGTTTCACCTTTCTGCCCCATCTAGGTTAAATCAAACCTATGGACTTATTTTTTAATGAGAAAATTTTCTTCCCTATTTCTAACTCTTCCATGGACTGGGTGAGGGTGGCAAGGCAAGATTCAAAATGTGGTTAATTCCAGATGTAGACACATGTGGATAACTTTATGTTTCAGACTGCTGACTGTTCTGAAAAGTCATAAAGAAAAAAAAAACTTGCCTTGAATCAAACAAAACATTTTGTTCAACCTGTAATGGAACATTTCACCTTGATTTCTGTTTTTTAAAATTTTTTGGTTTTGAAATGTCCTTCAATTTTATTTTAAAGAGGTAACCTTGAATCAGAAAAATAAAAAGTTTATTTTAAAAATGTTGAAACAAAACCATCTGTGTTGGGGTTATTTTTTCATTTGAAACCATTTGGTGAATTTACCACACAGAGAAAACATTTTGGTTTACCCTAGTCTGCATTTTTGCCTACATCCCCCCTGAAAAATATTTGGGTTGAACAGTTTTGAACATATTGGGATATTAATCACTCACCTTATGATTGATCTCCAATGAGAAGTTATTTTGGAGTTCTGTTAGTGTCATTTTATTGTACTGCAAAATTGGATCATTTCTGTCTTCAGGTTTAGTTGTAGCCTACAAATGTTAATTACAGAAGACGACTATATAAGTTGAGGCTATTTATAGGAGATACCAAGAAAAAAGAAGTGAACATGATAAAAGGAAAGAACTGAAGGTCTTATAGCTTCATGCAGGTCTACTGTATGTGGCCACTACACAATATTGCTCAGAGGCTAGCGTGTGTGTGTTGTAGCCTTGAGTCAAAACAAAGGACTAAATTAAATCCCTGTTAATACTAGGTCTTTAGTTTGTGGATTGGTGTTGGATTAGAGAGGGGGTACTACTACTGCCTTTTCCAAAAAGCTCTCTTGCTCTACTAAGATACTTTCAACCCATAGGATATACTTCTACACTTTTCTTGCGCTATGGATATCCCCAGTTAAGTTGCTTAAACAGCTATCTGGCACATGTTCTCTTGTCCTCAAAGATCCACCCTTCATTCCTGGGTTTCCATCTGTCCTTTCCAATGTAAAGCAGGCCCCTAGAGCCATAGCTGCCCTGAGGGGAGGAGGCAAGCAAGTACTTATGTGAGGCATCAGTGAGCAGGGAGACACTGCACCTCTGGCTTTTTGCCCTGAGGTCGCTATGCCGCTGCATCCCCTCTGTCTCCTTCCATTGTAGCTTGTCTCACTAGAGGGGAGCAGAAAGTACCATCTGACAGAGTATGGTCCTTGTCTCCTTTCTGAGTTGGGCTCCCATGATGGTGAGCTGAGAACACGAAACATAGGGTTCCAAATAGGGGCAGAGTGATTTCTCAAAAGAGTATGGTCTCTTCCAAGGCAGAGTCCCCTGCTTTTATTGGCACAGCCAACTCCGCTGGTGTAGAGGTAGCAACCTTTGGCCACTCCATTCATTTTGAATTTAGAAATTCTCTCCCCAGCTCCAAATCTCTACTTTTCATTCCCTCTTCCCTGCTCCATTCCTCCACTTCTTCATATATTTCTCTCTTCACTCTTTGTCCCACAGACTTGTCTAAGCAAAATGCAAATCCCACATCCATTACTGTTTGAACTGCAGCTGAACTTTCAAACTTAGGTCACATGGTTTCCAAATTAGCCAACAGAAGCTTGCCCATGACTAAAGGTGACATTTACCAATAGTGAGTGCTACAGTAAAGTGTCAGGTGTGATTTCTTTTCTACCTTCCTTTCTCAAACCCTTAAATCTTTTTCCAGAATGTTCCTTTTGGTTGACATTTTTTTCCATCTTTGGTCTCAGCCAAAGGTGGCTTTCTCAGGAGTCTGAGGAAAATCAAAATCAGCTCGTTGTGATATATGAAAATGAGGAAATTAAGCTTCCCTATGGAAACACATGCCGTTATTCTGTTGTTGTGACTCAAAGGGCTGAAGCTAGAAACGGCAAAAAACTAAACAAACATCAACAAAAACTTGGACTGTTTTATAGTCCTACTCATTTCTTCATCCAAGGGTGAAGAAAATCAGTTGTGAATGTTTTGAGGCCATATTTTTGCACATCAGTACTATCATTTTCTGTTTGTTTCCTCCCACTGACATTTTAAATTCTGGTCGCTTGTGTAAGAGATGCTATTGCTGAAGAAAACCCTTAGCTAGAAACCACTTGGGACACAGACTAGAGAGAGACAGAAATGGTTTTGTGGGCCTAAATATTACTCTGTTGTATTCCAGGGACTAGAGTTGGGGCCCCACTACTCCAAACAACCCCTGAGAAATCAGGGAGAAACATAGGTAGGAAAGATTCCTTCCCTAAAATGCCCCTCATAAAGTTTTCTTAAACAAGGTATATGAACCAAGTCTCTCCTGTCATCTTCCCACACTCTTCTGGAACTATGCAGGGCTGAAGGACACAACATGCAATGGGTCAGCATGAGAGAAGATAGCTTATAATAATATTTTCCCCTCCTCATTAATAGGCATCTTCAGGTCCATGTGCCATTTAATCCCCCATCTTATGTACCAGGCCTGACCTTCAGGATTGCTTGGACTAATGCACATCCTATTTACCCAGCCCACTCTCTTATGTACACCATGCTGCCATATAACTTAGGGGTTAGAACTTAACGAGTTGTACCGAATTGCTGTGTTTAAGTGGAGAACCTCTGGACACACAAATCACCTCAAGTGGTTTGCAGTAGGCTGGTGTAGTACATGTGGCATTCTCTTTCTAATTTCCAACTGATTTATCAAATTAAAAGACAGGTAAAAATACATTCAACATTTTGCTAATATTACTTTCCACGCAAGTAACTGTTATAGTTGCTACAAAGCTGTTATGGAATCCTAAAAAGTAAAGGAAGTGGTCTGCAGGATTATGAATGGGAGGGAAGGTGGCCCATAAGACATTCTCACTGAAAGTCTGAAACTTCTGCTCTGGTATATACAGTTGGTATGTCAATTTAAGATAGTAAAATGTTTTGGGAACCTTTGAAGGCAGTAGCTATTATATAAATGTAATATGGGATGCTTTTTGTCGAGAATACAGTTTCCAGTGAAGTCAATAGATGTTGTCTTCATTTATTTCAGAGCAGAATATGGCTCCATATCCTCCTAATATTCACATTTAAGGTAACTTTATAACTGTTTATAATGTTCTTTTGTACATGTTCTTACTGCTGACCTCTTCCAACCTAGAATAAAGTCAGTTATGTAAAACCCGCAAAGAAAAGTTTCCTTACATTGGCAATCTCTTTCTCCAGATCCATAACTCTTTCCATTTCTTTAGAAATCTGGCTTTCATTGATGGTGAGATTTTTCTCCTGAAGAATTAGTTTAGCCACAGAAATCATGAAAGACACATAGGCTGAACATGCCTGCAAAAAAGAAACAATTTCAAGACAAACCTCTTCAAAATACTGTGTATTGTACGTGGATTATTTTAGACTCATTTTGATTTTTGTGAATTATTGTTCTTGATAATTTTTTGCTGAATTTATAAAGAGCAAATATAGTGCTACATTCTGAAATACAGTTATATAATTTGGAAATTAAAAATTTCCTTAGAATAAATTGCTATCTGGTTGTCGTGCTATTCTTAGCAAAACATTGCAATTTACTGTGCTTTGCACTCATTATTTAAAATGTTAAGATGTTTAGTCCCTACTTAAACCCGACCCCTCATGTCTGTCTAGGAATTACCTAAAATTTCCTAACAATCTTACTTTAGTGATAATTTCTGAAAATAGTGCCTTCAGGCAGCCGAAGCATTAAAATGAGGGAAATGCTGATGGACTAGTGTTAAATTAGCATTTGGGAAATCTCACTCCTAGAAACAATGATTCATTTTCTAGTCAAGTAACTACTATATCTTTCATGTGGTCTATAGGAATCTGTGTGCTGGGCAATTTCCTCAGACTGCTGGGATATGTACTTTTAATCAGAACATCCTGTGGTCTGGCTACTGGTTGTGCACTCCTTCCGCATGCACATGTCTATTTCATCAAAGGCAAAGGAAAAAGTGTTCTACATATAACTTTTTATAAATTGTGATGGCTAAATAGTTTGTATAAGGAACACGTTTACAGCTTCTGTAGAATTTAACAAAAATGTTAAGCTTTCTATAGGTTTTCAGATCATCCTATTCAATTTAATGAAAAATAATATCACTGATTGGATATCTATGGGGTAGCTAACATGTAAAAGGATAAATTTTCTATTCATATTTCTCAGATTCAATTTCTCTAGAATCCTTTTGGTATCATCCGTTCAAGTCTATGGGAGTTGTCCATAAAGAAAAGTAGGGCAGGAATTTCATTACAATGCCTCTTTATAATCCCCACACATTTTGGTTTACCTTCTCCCTGATGGAAACCCTGCTTTCAACATGCTCCCTTGATGCAAATAGAAATAAATTAAACTAAACGGAAAAGCAACATGATTTTAAAAGTATAAAGAAATATATTGGGACATTTTGATGGCTGCTCACAAGATGGCAGAATTTGTGTCCTGAAATGAGCCCTTCAGACATTTTAGTAATTACCACCAATGCCATTCATCTGCAGGTAGCCTCCCATATGTGTCTTAAAAGGCAGTGCTGGTCTATATGCAATTAAGGCTTCAACCTGTGAATCACTGGGCACTTCTTGAAAATGAAATCTATTTAATTTGGGGTTGTTGAGTCACTGCACCTCACAGGATGGGGTCCTTCATGATTCTTCTCAGGTGTTAGAAAAGAACACGTCAATAGAGAGGAAATGACATGAAGCGCCTGGCAGCATGGAGTGTGCTCGTCAAGGCCAGAAACATACTTAAGTGTACCCAGATTATATCCAAATCTTAAGTTGTCTATGTCCCTAAACCAAAGTTAATGGCAGTCTTTTGATTTGCCTTCAATGGACTGTGGATCAGGCCTAAGGTAGAGACCCTGGCACCTGGGAAAAATCAGAACAGCCAAGAGGACAATTCAGCTTATATTTAATTACAGCTTGTAAATTGCTGCTGGATATACTGGAATCTTAAAGGGCATTCAGGGCCAAAAATAAGTGCAGTGGGGTGGTATGGTTTCTAAAGTAACATCAGTTTTAAAAAGAACTCTGATATACAGATTCAACATGTCGTTTTGGGAGGAGAAATGCTCCTGATAAAGCTGCAAATGCTCTGATAAAGAACAGAGGATAGACCATCTGTCTGTTTGCCACATACAGCTCCAGGATAAAAGCAGAATGACGCAGTGGGAACCAGAGCCAAGAAAAGGTGGCTGGCTGAGTACAGGTGGCTGCTCTGTTGGGGAGAGGCATTTCTTATTTCTTTGAAGTCTTCAGGGTGGTGGGAATATTTAGAATCTGCCTGCCTTGCATTTGGTTTTAGCATTACTAAGAGGTTTTTTGTTTGTTTGTTCTCCAAACATTTGTCTGCATCTTCTACATTATTTAGTGGAGGAATATTTGAGGTTGAGATGGTAGCCAGTTTCTCAGGTTACAATGAATGTGACACCATTAGATTTGGTCACTAATTTCTGTATCAAAACAAATACTAAAATCAAGTATCTTGCATTTAGAAATCCCAACAAATAGCTATTGTTACAGCACAGACACATTCTTAAGGTAGATGGAATTTGGATTAATATTTGAATTAAATGACAGCATTTCATGTTAACCATTGTACAGATTTGTATATCTGTGAACTCAGTGGCCTGATTCTCCTCTCACTTATGCGTGGGTAAGTCAATATGCTACACTGAAGTCACTAGTGCTGTACTTTGTAAAAATTATTGTAAGATCACAATCAACCCCCTAAAATCAAGTCAAATGAAAAAAACAACAACTAGTGTCACAATTCATACAAATTATATAATTTCCTCATGAGCTACTTTCTGATAATTTGTAAGATCTTTGGGGCAGGGACGTCTTTTTTTTTGGTTTGTATGGCCTCTAGTATAGTGGAAGTACTTGACTGTGTCAGCAAAAATCAACAAAGCAGAATCATTTACTTTTAAATATATGATGGGAAAACTGGTTAATTAAAGGCACAATTTTAGCACTGAGCTGACTTCAGTAAATATATATACACCTTAAATCCTTGAGTGTTAAGTTGCACCCATTGTTGGCAATGAGCAGATGATATGATACTGGTATCAAGGAGTTAATAAAAATATACATGCGTGGTAAGCAAACATGAATTTAAAAAGATCAGCTAGAACTATAAACAGCTTTAGTAATTCTAATGCCATGATGTAACATATATGCTAGGCTCTTTGCTTACCTTCAAGCTTAAGATACTTTTAGATACTTTTTGCTAAATCATGCAATCTGATAGTTCTGACTGGAGGCTCCTTTTTGACTGTAGGTTTCCTATTCTCTTCATCCCATTAAATGTACCAGTGACAACAAAAATTTAAGAACTTTTTTTCCAAAATGAACAAATATCATCTCCCTTTTTAATACTCCTGCTTTCAAAAGTCAACATGGACAATGTCAGTGAATCCACTAACTCCAATTCTGGCCTCTAAGCCTCCAGGACTAGGATTTAAAGCAGGAGGCAGCAACTCTGTAAAACCTCCACTGACACCTTAGACTCTTTCCAGTCTGGCTTCTCCCAAGATGTGATAGTACAGAGGCGGCCTTAGCTGAACTGATAAGACAACCTCCTTGTAGTGATGGAATGCCAGGGCTGAGACCAAATCTTCCATATTACATACTTTTAGCACTTCCAGTTTGAACTATCCGGGTTTGCTTTGGTGTCCTGGCAGAAGATGATGGCTCCAAGTTGGCTTCATTTATTCATTTCAATTTTGGGCAACTGCTGATGCTCTATAAGAGCTTCAACTTGCATGCTTTCACAAGACTCAGCCTCATCATTGCTTTTCTTTGACATCTATCTACTACCATTAGGAAAGACTCAGGCAACATGAGCTATGATGCCAGGAGTTTGTTGATGATACATCCTTCTTATCCAGCACATCCTTCTTATCTAGTTCAGAATGAAACTTGACTTTGAATAGAGAACAGCTGTCTGCCCCCAGGAATATGAAATCAATTCACTACCTTTACTGCATCACATTCAAAGCACCTGGTGGCCCTAAACACTCTTGTCCCCCTCCCCTACTCCATTTATGTCTCCTTTCCTTCTCACTTGCTAGCCTCTCTCCTCAATATTTCCTTTTTCTAATTTTTCCTAAATTTTGTGCCTTTCTTTATGCTTCTTCTTCTCTCTTTTCCCTGCTGAGCACATTCTCTCTGTCCTCAGATCAGTCTCAAAACTTGTTACACTCATAAACCTCTCTGCTGTGCCCAAGAATGATGTTTCCATGGACATTAGATTGCAGGCTCTTTGGGAATGGGGATGGAGATGGAGATAGGTCTCCTTTCAGTATTGCCTATGCACATCCCGACTCTTGAAGGCAGGGAAGAGAAAGTATATTTGTTAGCCTTGGCTTACCTCCTTATATGCGCCAGTACATTCATAGTAATCACGAGAAGGCAGACCAAGCCCAGGTTGATCAATCTACAAAAACATGTTTTTAAAAAGCTTATAGATAAAATAATACCACCCTGTAGCAAATCAACATTTTGGAAACAATGAAAAGTATTGCTCTCTAACTTCATTCTTGCCTTAATATTGCAAATCCACAGACTGACTGAGGTGGACATCACTCTCTGTTCTTACCCCCCTTCCTTTTCTTTTCTCTCTCCTTTTTTCTCCCTACCACTGGAACAATTTAAATCAAGATTGGATATATTCCTAAAAGTCATGATGTAATTCAAACATAGATGCTGGATTTGAAGAGGGATTAAAATATTCAAGTCCTATTGCCTGTGTCCTGAAGGATGTCAGATTACATAATCACATTGGAAACTTTCAGCCTTAAAGTCTGTGAATCATCCCCTCATAGCTCTTTCCTTCTGCTGCTGCTCTATGAACAATGCAGTCCATTGTGACACTGTCTTCATAGGTAAGCAGCCAATACAACTGGTGGGCAAGGAACACATAGACAAAATTTACAAATGGGCACCACAGCTCTTGCATATTCTATATTATGTATAAAACAGACTAGATTAATCATTGTTCTTGCTAAGGGTTGCACAAGGAAGCTGGGCTGCAGGTGGATTCACCATGCCCTTTCCCAGATATTCTGGTTGGGGAGACTATTTTAAATTCAGAGCCACGGCAGGCAGCACAGCAGCTTTCTAGAAAATGTGCTGTTTAAACAACAAATATCCTGGTCATTGTGGCCACATCTCTTCCCTGGCTGTCCTCAATCACTTTCAGAGCTCATGTGGCCGACTGCAGATCCCATAGAGGAGTAAGGGGTGTAGCAGTCTTGTATAACTGCAACAACTCACTTGTTGGTGGGATTTATGCTGCAGTCTTGCAACCCTGGGATATGCTGGCAAATCATAGTCCAGTGAGTACAAGAAAATATATAGCATATATACCGTTTTCATATATATACAGATATCTGTCATAGTCCTATTGAGCGTAATTAAAAAAAACTCTCAGTAACTGAGATTAGCAAGGCATTTGTTTAATAAATAAAGACTAAATAGGTTTGTCCTGAGAGCAGAAAGACATCTCTGTGTCAGACTGATAACTGCTTTAAATACAAAGGCTATAAACATTCATAATATGATTTGCTACTGCTTAACTGCCAATATTAAATCAGTAATATTTCCCTCTGACTTCTTATAGGTAATATTTATATGCATGTTTTATTTCACTCCAATGATTACTTAGTCAGTGCCATCTTAGCAGACTTACATGAATGATATGCACTGTGGAGTTCTTATCATCTGTGCCAACAAAAAAATTAATAAGGACCTTTTTCCCATATTGTGAATTCAGGTGTGCAATAGCCGTTTCAGCTGTCCAGATGGCACCTAAAGAAATTATAGATGCATTTAGTCTCTGTATTTTTTGGAAAATAAAGAAAAATGCAATTGTTTAGAAATTTTAACAGAAAAAGGAACTGACAAAAGTTGTCTTACCATATGCAGAGTCCCAGTTATCTGTTGCTACAGGCCATTCAGACACATTTGGCAGTAAATTGATTAAAGGTTTTCCACCTCTACTATCAATAGCAGCTTTTGGAAACAAGAAAAATCAATTCAGAATGAGTTATACGCCCAAGTATTTTTAAACATCCAAGTATTATATTGACTTCTGTAAAAGATTCTCTGTATTCCAGTATTCTGAAGCTGAAAAACTTTCCCATGGAACATGCCCACCAGCAGTACTGCAGACGTGTGCTCCAGAAACTTAGATTTCCTTTTAAAAAAAATCTCTTATGGCTGCAAAACCAACCAACCAACCAACCAACCAACCAACCAACCAACCAACCAAAAAATCCTTTAAGATGAGAGACAGTGTAAACTGAGGAAGAGTCTGCTGTCATTTCCAAACAATAGCTCTGTTAGTTCATCGCAAGGACATGTTAACTTTGAAATGTAACAATGATCATTCCAACAGCTACAATGTTCGCTATTTTACTGCCGATCATATTAATAGAAATATCTATTTAACGTTCTTATCCCCCAAATCTAAAATTGTCTCCCCCGTCTTTTCAGATGTCAAATATCCCAAATGACTGTTATCCAGCACTCCAAATTTCTATCTTTCCCACCAAGAATGTCTACAGTGAAGTTCTAAATTGCCTACAAAAGGCTGCAGCACAGGGAATACTGAAAATGCATGGGAAGTGTACTATAAACTGACTAACATCAGAATTAATAACTCAGGCTGTGTCTAGACTACACCTCTCTGTCAACAGAGAGATGTAGATTAGGCACATCAAAATTGCTAACGAAGCATGGATTTAAATATTCCACGCTTCATTAGCATAAACATGGCCTCAGCGCTTTTCGAAATGGAGCTTTTTCGAAATCCCCCCCCCCCCCACAGAAAATAAACCCTTTTTCGATAGATCCTGTAAACCTAATTTTTTTGAGGAATACAGGATCTATCGAAAAAGGGTTTATTTTTGACAGATCCATGTCTAGACTGCCATTTTTTTTCGAAAAAGCTCAGTGGCCATGTTTATGCTAATGAAGCACAGTATATTTAAATCCCTGCTTCATTAGAAATTTCAATGTGCTTGATTTGCATCCCTCTGTCAACAGAGGGATGCAGTCTAGACATAGTCACAGAGGCTACTGTACTTATGTTTATCTTTAATTTAATAATAATATCCATAAAAAGCAGCTATACTGGGTCAGAGCAAATGTCCATCTAGTCCAGTCTCCTGTCTTCTGACAGGGGCCAATGCCAGCTGCCCCAGAGGGAATGCGCACAAGAGGTAATCATCAAATGATCCACCACAACTTCTAGGTTGCTTCCCAAGATTTGCTGCAGAAGCACGTGGTTTTGTGGCATTTAGGTACAGTTCCAGTGCAGTATATGGATTATGTCCGTATTATATAGAAATCTTATGTACAGTAATTTGTGGAGAAACTTACTTTCATTTATACATGATCTGTACAGAGTTTTTGCTTTCTGCACTGCCAGTATGTCATTACTGTGGTCCCTGTCAAGGACATCTGAAACAAAGAACACATACGTGGAATATTATTACAGCACCTTCTCTGCAATGGGAAAGCCTAGAGGAAAACAGGATGAGAAAACAGCTGGGATAACAAGGATGGGGGAACAATAACTCTTCCTCATGCTCCCTTTTTATATCAAATCCCATAGAAGCCCCTCCACTCCAGGTCTGGGAGGACAGGGTGCTGGAGTGGCATGGCTGGGTAGGGAGAGGGGAGACTCTTGAGACAGCTGCTCTCCATGGTACCTCCTCCAGCCTAAGGGTATGTCTACACTACCCCACTAGTTCGAACTAGGAACGAGGACTGGAACGAGGAGTACAGATAGTTCGGAACGGCTACGTAGTTCAAACTATCTAGCCCGTGCCGCGTGTAGCCGCGCGACACGGGGTTCGCACTAGCCGGCTTTTAAAAATGGCGGCGCCGGCTTTATGCTAATGAAGCCCGGGAAATTCAAATCCCGGGCTTCATTAGCAAGTTCGGTATGCATACATTACCCCGCTAGTTCGAACTAGCGGGGTAGTGTAGACATACCCTAAGAGTGTTTCCCAATGATACTTGCCAAGTAAACCTTCTATGGAGTCCCCCTCTGCAGAATTCTAATGATCTGACCTTGGTGGGAGAGTTTGCAGATGGTGGGGAAGCTCTGTGAGTAGAGGGAGCGTCTGGGTTGTCATGCAAGAGGTGATGCTAGGAAACAGTACAGTAATATTGGGTTTCCTAGCAAAAGTCCCTGGTTACTATGGATACTCTGAGCTTTGCAGTTCATGTCTCCTAGATGGGGGCAGCTGGAAAAGGTGGTGTCTCCCCACCCCCGACATAAAATAGACTAGTTAGAAGAAACATTGAGCAACTATTTGTGGAAAGTCAAGGGAGGGATTATATGGGCCACCATCCTGAATTTGGTGTCATGCCTTGTGACATCTTGGTGGGTGGGTAGGAAATGAATATTTGTATGCCTTGAACTTAGAACTTAGTACTTAGAAAGGGCCTGCCTGCTTGGCTGCTGCTGAAGGAATAGACACGCAGAATGTAAAGCCTGCACCGAGCAACTTTCAGCATGTGGAGCAGTGTTGCAAAGGCTCCCATAGAGGGAAACTCCTTTTCCCTGTCCTCTCACCTGCAACAGCTGTAAGTACTGAGGGTACTGAGCTGTAGTACGTGGATAAGTGTGTGTGTGTGTGCACACAGAATTCAGTTATTATAGGGGTCAGGTCTAGGCAAGTTTGCTTCAGTGGTCAGCTACTATTTTGTAGAAACAACAGCCAGTGGGGCTGACAGCCTCACCTGGCCAATGGGCAAGGCAGGAGGAGGTGGTGCCTCTGCACCCCTGGAAGGGGAGGATCCTCCTTCAGAAGGGGCAGAGCTAGGGCTAGCATCACCCAGGCAGCCTCAGCACTGCATAGAGTGTGCTGCATCTCCCCCAGATAGCCCTCAGTGTTGCCTGGAGGGTGCAATGTGGGGCTTTGGTGGTGATGGCTGGGGTGCCCTGGGCCTTTCTGAATTGCTGGGCCCCAAGGCAGGTGTCCCCTTTGCCCCCCTCCTCCCTTCTGTCGGGCCTGACAACACATAACCACTAAATCTCAAATTATTATCCAAGGAAATGAATTGGTTGATTAATGATGAACTGAATAAAAAAGAATCTTGATTATTCTACCATATTGTTAGATAATGAGTTTTGTTCTGATTACATGTAAGCCCAGGAGGAAACTTTCATACAGTTCAACTTTCTAGTACATCATCATAAACTCCACTGACCTTTCAAAACAACTTCTAGTTCATCTCTTAAAATGTCAAAGTTGCTGTAACGGGAGCTGGTTTCTGGAATGACGTTCTTCTTCAACCATCCTCCACAGGCATATTGGTAAAAATCTTTACAAGGATCTGCAGTAGTGTCCATGTTCTCAATGATTCTGGCTGCTGTAATAGGAGACAGATTGAGACGTGGCGAATCCACAGAAAAAATAAATCTGGAATTCTGATATGGAAAGGGACAAATATAATTCTTGAGTTTAGGATACCCTGGCTTCCTACTTCTCTCTCCAAAACACCTACACACTTTGTCTTCAAAGTCTTGTCTAAACAATGACTAAGTCATCTTTGAAACACCTCTGTAAGCTGTGTGGGTATTATCTCCATTATAACAATGGAAATACCGAAACAGTAAGGTAAAGTAACTTACCCAAGACGAAGTCAATGTGAGAGCTAGGATTAAAACTTAGAATCATCTGACTTCCAACCCTGTTCTCATTCTTTCAAACCACACCACCTTTCTAATTCATATTTTAACATGATAGACACAAATTGATATCTGATATGGTTCACTGAAACTGAAAGATGTTTCATCCTCAAAGGACAGTGAAGATGAAACCACATGTATTGGTGAACAAGCAAACTTAAATACCTTTTCAATAACATTCTCTTTTTGTGCATATTCCCACTCAGTGTACATTTAAAAATGTCAAAGCAACTTTTAAAACATCCTAGTTGCAACATTCACTGGGCCAAATGCTGAAGTACTTTCTCACTTTAATTAAGTCCTTCCTCAGGTAAATCTTCCATTGATTGTAATATGCCTAAATGTGGAGTCAAGTGCTATTAAACAGCCCACAAAATGCAATATATACAATAACTTTTATACTTTATTTTAGTTTCCAGTCTTTTCCAATGGAAAAAAAAAAGATTTTCCAGTTGTATTTAGCATTCTCATATAGTCAAGATGATGAACGCATGCCCGACTGTTTATTTTTAAATATATCAGGTGGTTGTGTTTTCTGTACTCATTTACACATCTGTGTAATAAAACATAGCTAGAATACACAGACATTTTTCCCTTTAAGGCGAATGGAGACTAGAGAATGAAGGAGACTGGAGATTAGGAGTTAAATCGCCTAGAAAGGGAAGTTCTCAGAATGATATTTTGGCAGAGTTGGAGATTTGAGGGACTGCTTGTGCACAGACATTTTTCCCTTTAAGGCGAATGGAGACTAGAGAATGAAGGAGACTGGAGATTAGGAGTTAAATCGCCTAGAAAGGGAAGTTCTCAGAATGATATTTTGGCAGAGTTGGAGATTTGAGGGACTGCTTGTGTAATGACCTCGACAAGGCCTGCCTACAGGTTGGGGGTGGGGTGGGGTGGGGTGGG